GTATGTATTATATATTATTTATATACTATATATACTATATTCTTTTTAAGTACCATGTTTTTTTTGTAATATCTATGACAAAATGATAATTTTATATGCACTGAATATTGTTAAGAATTGAATACAAAATCGCATCAGTACATCAGAAATAACGCCATCGTCCGTATAATATTCATGAACTGTTTTAAGTAACTTTGTTTCTTTCGTGTATAATAAATATTATGATACAAAATTGAATTTACTAAGCTGTTTACTAATAACATAGTTAAAAGAAATATTAAAAAATATCGAATTATAAATATAATCTTTCAATTAAAAGTTTTTTATAGGTGTAGAACCAAAATGAATAACTTTCATACATTTTAAAAAATAAATATCCATTATAGTTCACATAAAATGGATACAATGCATACTTCTGAGTAGCAACAAATGATGTAAAGATAATATGTACGTTATATTTAAATACAAACATCAATTGTATACATACAGTATTTTTTTCTTTTGAAGCGTATACTCAATTTATTACATTAATATCAAAGATCCAGGAACATTGGTTCTACAAATAGCAGTATGAAACAACTGCTGTTGAATTCTAATATAATTAGTTTTACATACTTTAAACATTCCAAACTATAGTTAGCGTTCAAATTCGCGCACCTGAAAAATATATAAATTATTCTTGTTTACGGTAGAATGTAATTGAAAAACCAGTTTTCATCTTTGTCTAAACTAAATTATTTTAAAATGTATCGATTTGAGCAAAAATTTGTTCAATCTCCAACATATTATAAACATTAAAATTGAAGAAAGTAAAAATTGTATTACATACAATTTTTCAAGGTGTTATTAAAGTATTTAGTCAAACATCGGAAGCATGCTTTCTTAAACTTAGGAAATAATACTACAAGACTATTTTCTTAACAATAATGAAATACTTTTTTAAATATATAATTTAAAAAATCATTAATAGGGCCAGGAAATATTTACGAAATTATATTTGAATATTTTTTGTATTCCTATAATTATTAAAACATATAAAGTTTAATCAAATACTCTAAAACACCTCATAGTATACAGTATTCCGAATTAATAGTAAAAATTGTTTTATAATTTTCAAAGAAGTTTAAATAGAGATGCTAATATGATGCTTTATGAGATGATTATGCCTTCACATTGAGGTTTTTAGTCTTTAATGTTTCTCTTTTTATCACTATTTTTAGTTTACCTTTTTTTAGGAATAATATTTAAAACTGAAAAAATTGAAATTACTCGTATTTATTCGACACAAATTCATAATTTGGCATTTGAGATTGTGACAAATGGAAGCAGATTTAAGACTTTTCAGCAGTCTTATATTCCTTTGTGTCTTATATACAAAAATTGTAGAAATTGATGATTTAAATTTTAAAATCACAGCTTTTACTAATATTTTCAACAGATTTTTTAAAATATTTAATGAAAAGATTTTGACTACTTATCATTTTTATAATTATGCTCCATACATAGAATAAATTGGCTTGTAAATAGATAAATTGCTCGTGCAAATATTGTATATATCATATAAAAATGCATTGTTAAATAATTAATTTGATTTATATGCATAGTAACAATATAACATTATAGTTTCAATGTGATGTATCTATACCTTGATGTATTCATAATACCAGTGAAATTTCTAACTCTTTGCACTCTGCCTTCATTAAATAAGGACTACTTGTCCTTTATTTTCAAATAATATATGGTACTAAATGTTTCTCAGATAATAAATAACATTTGTTTTGATTGCAACGATTTGTTAAAAATACGAGTGTAAAGAGTTAATACTTGAAAAAATTGTTTCAGAATTCCTATTCTACATATACCTTGCAGCATGAAAAAATTCATAATTAAATATAGTTCATGTTATATCATAATATTAATAATGATAACGCGTCAATGATATATTTTTAAGTTCTAGAATTAATGATCCTATCAATAAAGGAAAATCACAACCGGCAAGTAGCCAATTACATAGTAGTAACAAAAATATGATTAATGTTATAATAAATTATGCCATATCTGGCTTCAGGAATTTTATGAACGGCATATAACTTAGCTATCAGAATCTAAGTCTTATATCTGCAGAAAAAGTTTTTAAATTATGTTTTATATATAAATATTATAGATTCAATTATTGAATCAAATAATGTACACATATGATTATCATCCAGTTAATAAAAATAATAATCATACATAGACTGCTGAATCTCAGGAACACAATGTGATACCAATTTTAAAATATCAGAAGTAAATTGTAAAACTTATAAATATTTTTTACTTAGTAATGGAATCAAATCATAGAATTATAAGATATCAATAAGAATTAAAAAATTCCGATAACAAAGTAGCCGTAGTTGATCACAGAGAATATCCTAGAGAGTCTACTAATTAATATTTATGCACCACTTGAAGGTCTTTCCCAACAACATAACCATCTGCGCCATAATGGTAGAGGTTTTCTACGTCTACATAATAAACTAGCACCGCCTCTTCTTGTATTAAGAGCACTAACTATTGCTTGATCAAATGCTTCCTTAAGATCATGTTGAGTTAATGCGGATGTTTCTACATAACTTACAGCTCCTACTCTTTGAGCCAATTGATGACCTTGGGTAGTTGTAATTGGAGTTTGACCATATCTTGTTAATTGTAACATAAGATGCACATCTGACCTTAGGTCACTCTTTGTGCCTACCTAAAATTATGATTGTTCTTGCTTAAATCAGCCTTATAGCACATTGAGTTTATAAGTATTACTTTAATTTATATCTGATTATATTTATTAAAAATATATAGTTTTATTACCAAAATAATTGGCGCATTTGGGCAGTATTTTCTTACTTCATTTACCCAGCGGGTAGTTACACTATGATAAGAAGAAGGACATACAACACTGAAGCAGACTAGGAACACATCTGTTTCTGGGTAACACAATGATCTCAAAGGATCAAAGTCATCTTGACCTGCTGTATCACATAGTTGAACATTTACTGGTTGACCATCAACATTAACAACCACTGCAACATAAAAAAATATTGGCATATGTTACTTTAC